AGTACCTGACACCTCCTGATATCCTCTATCTTTACAAGAGCCAGATCAGACCAAAAATGGTGCACTGTTGTTATATTTAGGCGGGAGCTGCCCAGACCTCACTCTCCAGCCTTGATAGAGTCCAAAAGTGTCTCCGACCCCTTGTGGGTGACGAACTATTCTCCACCGTTCTACCTTTTTCCCATAGGCAGGATGTAAGAAGCCTCTTGCTGCTCTGCCACTACTTCCACGGAAAGTGCTCAGATGAACTACATTCACTGGTCCCGCCCAGTAACAAATCACCTACATCCCCTCCATATTTCATCGCTGTGAAGTAAGATCCACTCGAGCAGCTTCTACAAATACAAACAAATTATCCCAAATGTAACCCTCTACCTCGAGTATCTCCCGGGATTTGTAAGGGGTGAATCACACTGTAAAAAAATATATGAGCCTACATAGTGTGATTAGTCTATTTCAAACTAACTACTCTAGGTTCCCACACAATTATCCCAATTTGTATTTTTCCAAACAGAAACTTTCGTTCTTCTTAATGTCACCTTCGACGTTTTAACGGGAATTTTATATTTGAATTCCACACTGTACAGTCGTCCTGGGTATGAGGATAAACTACACCCGCGTCCTGGGTAAGACGATAAATTACGTCCAGCAGTAAGATCTCTAATCAGGAGGTTTTGAGGAGTATGGAACCATCTCTTAATTGCTGATATTCACAGGTCCAGGGAGGTAGCACGTGTTACTGTTCTTGTTCTGGGCAAATAGATAACCTCCAAACTGGGGTAAAAACACCATGAAAGCGTAAAAATAGGTTTTAATACCAGAAATACTTTGTAGAATATTATTACCATCAATAAAGTTGTGAAGAAAAAAAAACTATCACCAGCAATACATTTTTGAAAAAATATTACCAACAATGTTTTTAAAAATAAATATTACTAGCAATACATTTTTGAAAAAAAATATTACCAGCTATACATTTTTGAAGGAAAAGTATTACCAAAAATAGATTTTTGACAATACAAAATATTACCAGGAATAAAAAATTTGTCAGCATAAAATGAGCCAATGAGGTTGATATGCCGTAAAACAAACTAAACCAAACTCACACTGTACAAGACCAGAAAAGAAAAGACTTCTTTGTATACAAGAAATTTATAACAAAAAATAAACTTAACGAAGGTGACTTGTCAGTTTTATTTAAGAAAAACTGTATGAAAGAGTGATTACGACCCAAACACCCCCATAGATATATATATATATATATATATATATATATATATATATATATATATATATATATAATTCCAGGATCATTTTGAGTCTTATTTAAGATGATCTTCGCCTTCTAACCTTCTAACTTTCTGTCTTGGAGTAACAAGTTGCCTCACATTTTTCACATACAATTGTATTTTCAAGTCGTTTTTCACTGCTCTTTGGACTATCATAGCTGAATCTTCCCTCTCACGTTCCAAACGCTTTATTGAAATCATCACCCTTTTCCTGTTGTGACTTTCTGATCCATTCTTCCTCTCTACTCTTCCCTCTTTTTTTAAACTCATTCACCGTTCTCTTGATGGTTCTTGAATGGATTTGAAGATGAAAGCCAAAGTACAAATCTTGGTACCATTACTGAAGACCTGAATGATCTTTTTCCTCTCACCATTGCTTAGTTGGGAAGACATAGTGGGGCTGACACAAACGATTTCAACCAGTTCTCTTTGTAGCTGAATAACTCAAAGAATTTTTCAATGATTCTTACAACAAATGGTGTCAAGATGGCTAAAATTCTTATCTGAAAACGTGAAAAAAGAAACACGATTGATTTAGAGTTTTTTTTTTTTTTTAGATATTAAATATTTTATGGGATGGATAATTATGCTGTTATACGATTTGGACAATTTTGCAGTTACACCCGATATATATATATATATATATATATATATATATATATATATATATATATATATATCAATCTACTCTTCACTATACCTATGATATGCTCTCTTAAACTTTGTTGTTTCCTTGCCCCTGAGGGTGCGGACATGTTTTATGATAAAAATTAAGTGCTCTCATGTAGTGAATCAGAAAAATCTTTTTCTCGCATTTTTATGTTCTGTTGTAGGACAGCCATTGTTCGGTGATCTTCCTTGAAGGCAAATTTGTCTGAGAAATAGAACAGAGATTATGAGCTTTCTGTTGTGGTAGTTGTTTGGTTGGATCGAGCAGACACTTGAGATTCGAAATAAAGGCAGTGAGGTGTTTAATTAAACATCAAATGTCACAGCACTTAATATCTGCCTCACTACATCATTACAAGGTAAAAGTTTCGAGATAGATAGATAGATAGATAGATAGATAGATAGATAGATAGATATGAAATGTGATAGATAGATAGATAGATAGATAGATAGATAGATAGATAGATAGATGAGAAGTGTAATTAAAAACCAAACGCCACAAGAACTTAATATCTGTCTTACTACATCATTAAAAGGTAAATGTTCCGACAGGGAGAGATAGATAGATAGATAGATAGATAGATAGATAGATAGATAGATAGATAGATATTTCATTAGTATTTAATAAATATTTACTAATTCAATAGATTAACCTTGATATTACATCAATATTAAAAAAAAATTCTTACATTCCAAAATATGTGTCGGCTTTACGTTAACCCGCAAGCGGTTGATAAGCCTACAAAAAACAAACCATTAAATGAAAACTTTCATTCACTGCGACAGCATCCCCACGCCCGCAAAAAGACTGATTTTTGTCATTTGTATTTTTCTCAAGGAAAAGAAGTTTCAAATCTGTCTTGACTGTTTCTAAATGTTCTGCCACTTATGAAATATTCTAGAGATCGAAACAAATTAAAAACCGTGCATGCTAAATCTAGGGAATAATGGAGGATGTAAGAGAACCTGCTTTGCCAAAGATCTCATTTGGCGGAGATGAGGGGTGTGGCTGTTTTAGCAGAGTATATTGGATGGAGTCCCGTCTTTGCTGTTGGCACTGGGTTTTTATTTTAGGATCAACACTGTTTGCTTTTCGTGTTTATCTTTTGTTTTCGTTTTATACTGACATGCAAAACCCATTTTTCATCACCTCTACAATTAAAATATACTTAACACCTGTTGGAAACAACATCCAACTAAATCGTACCACTATGGATCCATACCAGATATTTCTACAATCTTACGCGAACGCAGAATGCGCTATGCAGGACACTGTTCATGAGCAAAACAAGGACTGGCGAGTGATCTACTGCTCTGGACACCTAGACATGGAGCAAGACGGGCTGGTCGTCCAGCAACCACCTACATTGACCAGCTATGATATGACACAGAGGGCTATCGTAATGACCTTCTGACCTTGATACAGGACCGTGATGGTTGGCGTGATAGACTTATGAATATCCGAGCTAGCTCGACCGAATCATAAAAACAACACAACGCAAATATGAAAGTTTGGCATCCCTGGTTTAAGATTGCAGCTGATGGTGGAATATTGTCTTTGATTCTCAAGAAAGAACTCGTGAAAAGCTTAAATTTTTTTCTTTGTAGCTTTTTACAATTACTTTGAGATTTACGTGGACATCATTTTTTAAAACAATGAACATTGCCGAGTGAGTAAAGGTAATTGAAATAAGAGCAATGTCAAGGTTAAAAACGTCTTTTGATACTCAGTTTTTGGGAGTGTTTTTTGGGGGGGCGGATTCATGTTTGCTACCAACTGAAAAAATTAGCATCATAAGGCTCGTTTTCTTTTCCTTTTAACATTTTATAACACAAAAGCAAATGGATAAACATGGACATTTGTTCCCATGACACTGCTTTTATTTTAACAACCTTCACTCCGTCGGCAATGTTTCTTGTTTTAAAAAGCAATGAATAGAATTGTAATAAAACCTAAACATTTGATGAAACTGAATTTATACATCATTTTTTTTGTTCTTGAGAATTTAAAACAAAATATTAAACACTGTTTTTATTTACAAAAATATTTTATATTTACAGCGTCCGAAAAACTGAGACAGTTGTATTAAGACTAATGCAATATTTATCATTTACCAATTTATATAGAGAAATAAATATGAAAACACTTTTTTATTCGCAAATTTATAAACATTTACCAAACTATCAAAATTTATGAACCAACTATAAGTAAAGTTCGAATCAATTTGCAATGGGCTCATATTATGGCTAAGTTCGCCACAAGAGCTAATGAAAAGAAAACGACTGATGTTGGCCTGAGTAAAAAAAAAAAAAATATAGCATCCGAAGGTCCGTTTTCTCTTTGGGTTCGAAAACCGACCTCTAACACCAGTGGGGGACAATGGTGAATATATCAATCTCAACACAAAATCCTTTATACATAGTAAGTTAACATTTTCTAACACAAAACCAAATGGATAAACATGGACATTTGTTCCCATGACACTGCTTTTATTTTAACTACCTTCACTCCCTCGGCAATGTTTCTTGTTTTAAAAAGCAATGAATAGAATTGTAATAAAACCTAAACATTTGATGAAACTGAATTCATACATTATTTTTTTTATTTTTGTAGTTGTTGTTCTTGAGAATTTACAAGAAAATATTAAACGCTCTAGCCTTCTTCAGGTGGTTGGAATGTCGAACTGAACTCTTTATTTCGCTCACTGGGGTAGACCCATTGAGCGAACTAAAGGTTTCAATTCGACATTCCAACCACCTGAAGAAGGCCGGAGCATATATTGGTCGAAACGATGTAATAAAAAGATGAGGACAATAGTTCGAATAATGTAAATAGTGTACATCATACCTCATTTCAGAAATATAGACAGAAACCCAAGAGACTCGGAAAATATACTTTGGTTACAGGTCTTTCTATTTTACTTCCCCTGTGTGTCTTTATAAGCTTCAAAAAATGGTCACTAATCCGAGTCAGGAAAAGAGTGTAACAAAGATTATGTTGCTCGGATCCTCTATATAAAATCGTGCTTAGAGTTTTAAAAATCATCTTTCGCAATCTTCTTTACGGGAATTCGGAACTCTTTTCCCAGTGGTAACGATCGCAAGCAATATGCCGGTCTCTTCGCTGGATTTGTGTGTTTGTGGGTGTCTTTGCTTGTGAAAGACAGTGAAAGAAAATGGTGAAATGAATGAATGTGAATTATATCTTCCCGAATTATTACTAACGAAATAAAAAAAAAAAACGAAAAAAAAAAGATTAACATTTGAGGCCGCATAAAGACCCTACTGCATTCAAAAGAATTTCTCCGGAGTAATTCTTCAATGATAACAATCCAACATATGAAACGGGAATATTTTTAAGGGCTTTTCAAAAGATTATCTTATTTACGTTTGGTTTGGTTTGGTTTGGTTTATTTTGTTTTACAGCTTATCAACCTCAATGGGTGATTTAATGCCAACAAGATTTCGAGATGTCCGTGTGAATAGAATATGTATTCTTGGCAAGAAATCAGTTTGTAGATCAGATTTCATTGACGTATTTTTGTAAAGATGGTTCTTGTCGAGAGTCTCGTTTCATCGATGTATTCTTTTCATATTAGTTTGGTTTATTTTCTTTTACGGTATATCAACCTCAATGAATTATTAAAGCCGACAAAATTTTTAGGATAGGTTCGTATGAATAGAATATGTATTCTTTGTAAGAAATCAGTGTGTAGATCAGTTTAAATTATTCTATTTTTGAAAGAGTGTCTTTGTCCAGGGTCTGGTTGCATTGATCTATTCTTTTCAGATTGGTTTAGATTATTTTATTTCACGGCATATCAACTTCAATGGGTTGTTAAAGCCGACAGGATTTTTAGGATATGTTCGTACGAAGAGAATATGTATTCTTTGTAAGAAATCAGTTTGCAGGTCAGGTTTTATTGAAGTATTTTTGTAAAGAAGTTTTTTGTCAAGAGTCAAATGTATTACTAGTAATATTTTTTTCCAAAAATGTACTGCTAGTATTTTTACTACAAATATCTATTTTTATACTTTCATAGGATTTTGACCCAATCTAACTAACTGCCCGTAGCTGGGACCCTAACAGGCGCTACTACCCCGGGTCAGGGTGAATCTGGGAACAACAGCAATTAAGCGGTCGTTCCTTAAAAACCTCCTGATCAGATGCCTTGCTACCGGATGCAGTTTATCGTCATACCCAGGACGCTTTTACTTAAGGTTTTATGTAAATATTCTCCATTACTTACTTTGAAAAAAAAATTAAGAAGAATAAAATTAATATAAAATTTAAAAAAAGGAAGCAAAACTCTAAGAAACGCAAACTTAGTAATATTCATACACCTGGATTTCTTTTTGATGTCACGTCAAGCGGAAGTTGACTGGTACCAATCAGTATGGTATCAGCTGACTTCCGTTTCCGGTTGTTTGCTCTCTGTTGTAACTTCGAAGTGAATGATACACAGAGAAGAATGAGTGCTTAATATAATTATTCAGCATCAGTATCCGGTGCTAACGGATACATACAAAAATACACCGAACAATAAGTTACAAAACAATTAACAAGACAACTTACAAGGAATAGAGGAGGGTCAAATGCTGTATAGGCAAAAGAAGTAAGATCCATCCGAATATTAATCAGCTTAGGATCAACTTATTAATCAACTGTTGAAGTTCTTAATCGTAGACTATTTAAGGCTATGAGACAGGTCATCTGGTATAGCGCGGAAAAGCGTTGGAGAAAAACAGAATAAATGGCTGATAACATTTAAATACTGTATACGGTGCGTTTGATGTTGTATTTGTATGAATCTTGTTTTCCATATAGGTGCACAAACAATTACAAATACGGAAACAGCACGAACAAGGAGAAGAACCAGAGAGAACGAAAAGGAAGTGAAAAGATTGGTAACAATCTAATTGCAACAAAGTGAAAAGGAAGAGGTAATCAAAATAGTCAAAATCATAATATTAAGAAAAGAAAGATGCAGATGAGGAAACTATGTTGGAAACATAATGAAAAAGAAACAAATAGACAGTCAGTTATATGCCATGCGTGATACACGCTTAGGCGATCATATATCTGTCGATACATGACTGACGAGGCAGATTTTTTTCTGCAGTAGGTTGCCATTTCTTTCTTTGGTAGACCAGTTGCCATCCATGTCTGCCTTCATATTTACCTGTTTGCCTTGCTATTTACCCATGGCTTAGAAGAAAATTCATACCTTTCCCGAGGGTATTAGAACGTAAGTGAATGTAATGGATTCGACTGGAACTCAAACTCGACTCTCCGATTCCTCAATCCGAGACGCTATCCATTACTCCACCGTTTCTCCTGTGTCAGTTATGGGCCATACATGATATACGCTTAGGCGATCATATGTCTTTTGATATATGACTGACGAGGCAGATTTTTTCCTGCGGTAGGTTGCCATTTCTTTCTGCGGTAGACCACATGCCATCCAAGTCTTTAGAACCCGGTCCATCTGCTATTTAACCATAGCTTGTGGGAGAACAAGAGGATTCATACATTTCCCAAGGGTATTAGCCCGTAAGTGAATGTAATGGATCTGACTGGAATTCGAACTCGGCTCTCCAATTCTTCCATCCGAGCCGCTATCCATTACTCCATCGTAATCCTGAAACGGTAAATGTGCTTTCACCGACTAATGCCGAGAAAATCATGCACAAACCTGGTGGAAACGAAGACGTTTTACGGAGAAGAGGACCTACAAAGAAACTGGTGCTCGGGTCAGAAAGAGACTACTGAAATTTCTGAGATATATATATATATATATTTACTATATTTCTCCGGATGCAAGGCCTAATAGCCACTCGAGTTAGGAGTTTTCTCAATGATATTTTGACCCAGGAATCAAAGTAGAAGGAAAATGGAAAAAATGAGGCTTATATACAGAATAAAGAAGAGACAGCTGAAATGTTTTGAACGCATAATGAGGATGGAAGACTTGGAGAATTTGACACTCACAGTGCAAGTGGAAGGCGAAAGGAACAGAGGGAGATAACGCGACAACTACGTAATTAGCTTATTCAAATACATGGTGGAGTGGGGTCTGCATTGGATAGCGAAAAGACAAACGTTACTCAGATATCATTGCCTTTCCACAATTTAAGATTCATATAGGAACCTAGATGGTTATGCGACTGTATCATAATCTTCAGGTAGTAGCCGCGAAAATTTTCTACTTAAATTGAAATTGAAAATTATACATAATATATATATATATATATATATATATATATATATATATATATATATATAGAGAGAGAGAGAGAGAGATAGATAGATAGATAGATATTAGTGGAAAATATACATACATATGCAAAATATATAAATACCCATACATGTATATTTTTAGAAAAAATTCTAAGAGGAAGAATCCAGGTAGAACTCAATGTCTAGGACAGAATAAGGATATATAAAAAGGCTTAAACACTAATATTACCATGGAATATTAGTGCCTTTTTTATCATATTTATATATATATATATATATATATATATATATATATATATATATATATATATAATTATTTATTTAAAAATATGATTCCAAGACGTTACATAAGAGTTCTCATGTTTGAAAACAATTTGTTTTGAAACATGAGAACTCTTAGGTAGCGTGTTGAAATCATATTTTTAAATAAATAATTATATTTATGCTCTACTTTTATATCGAACACTATCTTTTAAAAATAATAACAAAAATACTAAAGAACTTTGGATTATTTACCTAACGAGTTCTTTTCTTATTTTCTATATATTTTTCATATATATATATATATATTTATATATATATATATACGCGCACATACTTACATATGTGTGTGTGTGTGTGTGTGTGTGTGTGTGTGTGTGTGTGTGTGTGTGTGTAAAGGAAATTTAAAAAATCAAGTTAGAAGCTTGTTCTTCAACCAGTCTCTACGCTTGATCTTGCTCCAGTATCTACCAAAAGTCTGCTTTGCACATGACCAAGAAGAAGATCAGCTCTGAATTCGTACGTGTAAATGCTCGTGGTAGGTCATAGGAGGCGATTGTCTCCCTTTGGTGGGGATAATTCTGATGGGTCACGTGACGGACGCTGAGTGGCGTCATTTCACACGGGGACGAAAGTGGTGTGTCACTCAGTCGGTATACAGGAGCCAAAACGTCCCGGGCTGAGGCTAACAATTCCATGGTGCCTTTTCCGTTTTTTTTTTTTTTTTTTTTTTTGCAGTAAGTTTCACACTGCACAAGATCTAGTGACCAATTGAGGTAGGGGGTTACGTTAATTGTTAGTTTATATGGATAAGAGAAGATAACGATTGACTCTAGACTTAAACAGGTTACGATTGTAGTGATCGGGGAAACATCCTCTTGAGAGTCTGTTCCATAGGGCAGTGTTTTGCGGGAAGAAGTAGTTTGAGTGGGATTTACTTCTCGCCGGTCGAATATGGAGGGAATGAGGTATTTTTTTTTACTATATAAGTGACAAGGCGTGTCCTAGCCTTAGAGGCCAGACCTGCTGGAACCAGGAGATACAGTTCGTCCGAGCACTTTCCCTGGTAGTTGTGATAGAGCAATCAGAAACTTGCTATATCCCACCTGTTAGAGAGAGATTAGAGTGTGGAAAATAATTCTTCTCTATCAAGGACTCGGAGACGATTTTGAACTGAAAAGTGAGGACTGACCATCTCCTGCTCAATTATGCCAGTAGTAACCCATTTTCGGTCTGATCTGGATCTTATAAAGGTATAGGATAGCGTGAGGTGTCAGGTACTTAGTGAAACCGTACATGGAGGTGATCATTTGGCCTACATCATTAACGATGGATCGTATATAGGAATTCCACTTGAGATCGGGTGTGGTCCAATATTCTCTCTAGACATTCGTTCATCGTAACTGGCTATAGTTCGGGCTCTGATCGGCGGAATGTAACCAGTTTAGTTTTAGAGGCATTGAATGTAACCAGCTGGATTTTTCGCCACTGGGAAGTTAGCGTTAGATCGCAAAAGAGGTCAGCTGCCAATCTCTGACCATCAAGAATTTTAGAGGTGTGTATCATCGGCATAGACGTTTACAAACGATCGGAGTATATTCTTAGGTATCTCTTTTATGTAAATCAGAAAAAGGTTTGGCCCCAAAAGAGATTGTTCCTATCTAGGTGCTCGACGACCTTCATGCTGATTAAGGCCTCAAAAAAGTTTAGTGATGATACCGATGAGGGTAACGGGTCTATACTGGAAGGGTGAGGATCGGTTGCTCGCGTTCTTGAAGACTGGGCTTGCCACTTTCCACGTGTGCTTGGGAATGATTTCTCCTTCAAGCAGTGCTTAAATGACTTTACTAGAAACGGGAATAATTCTGGGTTTGGTATTCTTAACGACGACCACTGAAATTTCGTCAGGTCCGGTGGCTTTTTTCAGGGAACGTGTCTTTTGATAAGTCCGGAGACTTCTCTTGGTGAAATGCGTATATTACTGAGATTGTGCTCAGTGAAACGTGGGAAGTTGGGGAGGGAATGGTCTTTGTTATATAACATTGAGTTTGAGGCAAATATCTAGACGAAGAGCTTCGACTTGTCTGTCGACGAGGATATGACCTCAGAACCATTTATAATAGTGGGAAAAACCGCCTTACCTGTGTTCATAGTTTGGTTGCTGATCTTACAGAATTGAAGAGATCCAATTTGTTTATTTTCAACCTTGTCCTGGAAAATTGCGCGTAGATGCACTTTGCGTTTTCCAGTCCTCTCTTACAGCAATTGTGGGCGGTTCTGAAAGAAGCAAGGGCCAGACTACATCGCTTCTTGCCATAGATTTTGAAGAAGCGGTTCCGGTGAGCTATGGCAACAGTGCATTAAGGGGTGAATCAGGGCTGATTTTTGCCTAGGAATTATCCGTATATGATAATTCTCCCGATTTTACTTAATAATGAGGCTCTCCATCGCAATCCACTCCAGAAGTGCTCTCACTGGCAAAACAGATAAATAAAAAATATCCCTAAACACTGTATGTACGAATAAAACATCGTATCATAACGTTTATTTCGTTTGGTTATTTTTTTTTACTGTTTTTGTATTGGATCTCTCTCTCTCTCTCCCTCTCCCTCTCTCTCTCTCATTATTATATAAAAAAAACTTCTTCTTCTTCTTCTTCTTCCACTCTCAGCTTACATTACTAACTGGAGATGCCCAAATTAACCAAGTGCAAAAATTCAAATATCTAGGAAATGGTTTAACGGAGTACGAAAGTGCAACACTGAAATCCGAAGGCGCATGGAGATAGACAAAGATACATTCCAAAAGTTAAGCTAAGCTAGCGGTGCTCCTATATGGCAATTGAATGCTGGACAATCCTCACGGATATAGAAGAGCCTTGAGGCCAGAAAAATATGGTTCTACAGAAAGATGCTGAGAATACCATGGACTGAACATGTGAGCAACGACGAAGTTTTAGAGAAAATGGAAACAAAAAGGGACGCTTATAGCATCATAAAGAGAGAGTTGAAATTTCTAGGTCACGTAATGAGGAAAGAGGGCTTAGAAAATTTGACACTGACAGGAGATATTGAAGGCAAGGGAGACAGAGGAAAACAGTGAATAACCTACCTAACGAGCTTGTTTCAATAGTTGACAGAACAGGGATTAGGATATATAGCGAAAAGAAAAAAGTTACTAAAAACAGGAAGCTGTGGAGGGCCATGGTCCTTAACGTTCTGAAGAGACAGGTGCAAGTAGAAGAACTTTTGGGTGTTCGGGTAACGTAAGTTTTATTGGTGTGGCAAGTGATATAGTTAGCGAAGTTCAAATTCCTTTTTCACCTGTAGTTTTCACTTTGCTCTTGGGGAAAGTATGAATCCATCTCTTTTTCTCCTAGCTATGGGTTAAACAGTATAGAAAACTGTGCTTTCAATTCTTGGATGGAAACTTGTCTAAGAAAAAGTCTGAATTACGAGTAGAAATCCTGGAAAAGTCAAAGGAAAACCAATTCATTATCTTTATCAAGAAGTCATAGCAATTCACGCATATTAAAGAAAAGGAAGCAGTGGAGAGCCATGTTCACGTATACCAAAGAAATGAAGAGAGTTACTGTTCTCTGTCTTATCGAACGTCAAATTTTAACAGATGAACCACTCGTGGGTTAACTGTTGCCTTTCCTATTGATACGGCTGCTGCTTCTCGCAACGTTGTTTTTCAGGCTATTTTCAGCGCACCTTAGCAGAATTCGATTTAGTCTAAGGGTTGATTAAGTTTCAAAGCATCAAGCAATTAGCTGCTTGTGGGCCGGGCCTGCCCGATCGCCTGTTGGCCTACGAACCGAGCACAATAAAACAAAATCCGTTCACCACAGAACTGAAACATCGGTTTGTAAAGCGCATGCTTGAATTATTGTCACTGCCGATTCACCTCTGACCAAAGCGGTGCTCTCATCTATAGCAAAGACCCGTCTAGAAAGGGGAGACCTATAAATCCGCCTACACAGTGATACACACAAACATAAGAGGACATACTCTTATCCAGACTGCACAATAGCGTGAGAGAGAGGCACATACACACACGCACACACACACAGAGATAGATAGATAGATAGATAGATAGATAGATAGATAGATAGATAGATAGATAGATAGATAGATTTAAACAGGCTGAGATAGATACATAGATATAAAGAGCCTGCTATAGGTAGGTAGATATAAAGAAGGCGAGATAGCTAGATAGATAGATAGATAGATAGATAGATAGATAGATAGATAGATAGATAGTTTTGGGAATCTGACAGAATGATAAGATAAAGAACAAATAGGAAACGTTTATCAATGTAACATGCTTCACTTTTATTTAAGCTTCATCATTTTCGCTGTTTGAATTCCACTGGTTAATAAGATAGATAGATAGATAGATAGATAGATAGATAGATAGATAGATAGATAGATAGATAGATAGAATGTAAGCTAAATAACAAGATATTAGGAACTGTATATGCGTGCGATATCGTTCTACACAGATAGGCAAATACATATTTATTTAATTTAATTTATGGTGCAAACAAAACAGTGCTATAAAGTATATATTAATAAATACACAAATACCTACGTTTGCAGTGCAACTTAGAGTTTCAGTATTTCTAGTATTTAAAAAAAAAAACAACTCTAATTCGCCATTAGTGACCAACGACTTGGGAAACTATGAAACTTTAAGTTGCACTACAAACGTAGGTATTTGTCTTTGCCTTTCGTGGGTTGGAAGAAGGGGGAAAATTTTTGGCTGCTACTGCTGCCGATTAATGCTGAGCTCTTCACTATCAACTGAGCCCTCTGCTAACCGGTAATCCATATATCTTGTACATAATGTATTAAAAATTCATTTTCTTCCTGGCGTGCGCTGATGGCCTAGAGGTGGGAGTCAAATCGGTCTGGTTTCGAACCCGACTTGAAGCGATCGCATGTCTAGCCACTGATGATTTGTGATACAGCGACACAGGCTGTCTGTGGGTGACTATATATATACATACATATATATATATATATATATATATATATATATATATATATATATATATATATATATATATATATATATATTAAAATTAAAATTACCTCATTGTTATGATCATTTAACCTTAACTTAAGATTTACTTATAAAGATTTTCAAACTCATCAAGGTATAAGATAAAATAGAATTTTAATTTATCTTATTACCTTGGTCGGTTTGAAAATCGTAAATCTTAACTTGTAAGTTGAAATGATCATAAATATGAGGTAATTTTAAATTCCTGTTGTATGTAATTTATATGCTCTGTTAGAATAAATGCATTGAGCTCTCTTTGCGAATCAGTTTTAATATTTTATATTATTAAGATTCACTTGGAATATATACCAATAAATTATTACCTATATATATATATATATATATATATATATATATATATATATATATATATGAGAAGAGAGAAACCGCAAACGTTTTTGGTTCTAATGTGGATTTTTAAAAAAATATTATACATTATTTTTCATAATTTTGCCTTATTTGCCTAAAAATAATATGCTTTATTTTCCATAATTTTGCCTTATTTGGCTAAAAATATTATGCTTTATTTTCCATAATTTTGCCTTATTTGGCAAAAAAAAAATATTATGCTTTATTTTCCATAATTTTGCACATAAAGCAAAAAATATTTTTTAAAACAATCCACATTACAACCAAAAACGTTTGTGGTTTTTCTCTTCGTTTTAATATACGCACTTTTTCTCTCGTTGAAATTACTATAACCTCTTCCTTATATATATATATATATATATATATATATATATATATATATATATATATATATGAATAGTATGTAAAAAATACAAATTATCACAGTCTCTCTCTCTCTCTCTCTATATATATATATATATATGTCTCTGTATACATATATATATGTGTGTGTGTGTGAAGGGAAGAAATGTATAGGTTCTCCTGTACACTTCGATAAAAAAAAAGAGGGAGAAATCGAATGGGAGGTACAAAGGAAGAGTCCGTAAGACAAGGAAGTTAGGAAGGACTTCGAAATATAATAGCATCCGTTTTCCAAGCAACACGCGCGTGCACGCACATAAACGTACAGGTGCGTGCGTGTAAACACAGATACACATACAGGCAAACAAACCGCACCCACGCACATACGCATGCACAAGTTCAAACCATTCCTTTAGAACTCCTGGAGTGTCTCATTACATTTCAGTGGATGTTTCTCTTAGGGGAAAAATTGAGAAAATAAGAGAAAAACAAATCAACGAGAGGTAAAAGAAAGAAAGAAAGAAAGAAAGAAAGTATGACGAAAAGGTGGAAATTGGAAATTATAAAAAGAAAGAAAGAAAGAAAGAAAGAAAGAAAGAAAGAAAGAAAGAAAGAAAGAAAGAAAGAAAAAAGTACGACGAAAAGGTGGAAATTGGAAATTATAAGAAAGAAAGAAAGAAAGAAAGAAAGAAAGAAAGAAAGAAAGTACGATGAAAAGATGGAAATTAGAAATTATAAGAAAGAAAGAAAGAAAGAAAGAAAGAAAGAAAGAAAGAAAGAAAGAAAGAAAAAAAGTACGACGAAAAGATGGAAATTGGAAATTATAAGAAAAAAAGAAAGATTAAGTTGTATTAATTATAGCAGTATTAGAAGAAGAAGAAGAAGAAGAAGAAGAATTAACAAATGGAAAAAAAGAAATTGAAAAAAGCAAGTAAGAGAAGATAAAGAAAGCGAGAGCTGGAGGAGAATAAGACAGAAGAAAAGAGAGAAAGGAGGAGGATGAGAGAGGAAATTTGAAAAAGGAAGAGAAAATGGGGTAAAGATGAAAGTGTAAAAAGATAAGAGGGGAGTGAGAAGAAAAGTTAATCGCTTTGGTGAGTAGCTTTACTAACGAATGAAGGATCGGGAAGAACACGAAAAATTTTATGACGATAACGGTTTCAAAACGGGAAAGAAAGAAAAAAGGAATTAGAAGAAGGATGAGGAGCAAGCGAAAGGAGGAGAGAATGCAAGAGGGGGAGAAAACAGTAGAAAGAGGACAAAGAGAGAAAGAAGAAAAGGCTAAAGAAGGAGGAGGTAACTACAATAGGCGATGAAAACAGTATAAAGGCGACTAGAGGAAAAAAGAAGACTAAAATAGGAGGAGGAGGAGGAGCAGGGACTGCAACAGGTAAAGAAAACAGTACAGAGGAGACAAGACGAGAAAGGCTAATGAAGGAGGAGGAGCAGGAGGAGGAGGGGGGGGGGAGAAAAGGACAAGAGGGGAAAAACTAAAGAAGAAGGAGGGGGACAAAGCAACAGAGAAAAAGAAAAGGAGACTAAAAGAGAAAGAAGAAAAGGCTAAAGAAGGGGGAGGGGAAACTGCAACAGGCAAAGAAAACAGTACAAAGGAGACTAGAAGAGAAAGAAGAAAAGGCTAAAGGAGGAGGAGGAGAAGAAGAAGAAGAAGAAGAAGGAGGGAGGGCGGACTGCAACAGGCGTAGAAAACAATACAAAGGAGACTAGAAGAGAAAGAAGAAAAGGCTAAAGAAGAAGAAGAAGAAGAAGAGAAAGGCGAAGAAAAGGCTAAAGGAAAGGAGGAGGAAGAAGAAGAAGAAGAAGAAGAAGAAGGAGGGAGGGCGGACTGCAACAGGCAAAGAAAACAATTCAAAGGAGACTAGAAGAGAAAGAAGAAAACTAAAGGAGGAGGAAGAAGAAGAAAAGAAGGAGAGAAGAAGAAGGAAAGGAAGGGCGGAAAAGGAAAACAATACAAAGGAGACTAGAAGAGAAAGAAGAAAAGGCTAAAGAAGAAGAAGAAGAAGAAGAATCTTAATGCAACAGGCAAAGAAAATCGTTGGAAGGAGAGAAAGAATGCCAAAGAATAATTTTGACAATATCGAACAGAATGAAGAGTAGAAAAAAAAACAACAGTCACAAAAACCTAGAGAAAGAGAAAATACTCTGCCACAAGAAGAAGAGGATGAAAAGCGGTTAATTGAAAAATGGGATGAAACAGACGGAAAGAACAAAAAAGAAAGAAAAAGGAAGAAGTAAATATATTTTTTTTAAAAGACGAAGAAAAACAGAAGAAAAATATGTGGGCAAATGAAGGAGCAAAAACAAAAATCAAGTAAACGAATAAACCTTGGGAAAAATATTTAACAAAGAAAGAACACAAAAAAAAATGAACAAAACATCACAATTTCAATTAAATCAGCGCGGCTAATTAACTAGAGAAGAAAGCAAAATACATCCATGCACTATTTTTCCTTTAAACCTAACCTCAACCGATTGGGTGCACGCCTTATAATTGAGTTCTCTGACCCAGGATTGCTAACACATTCTCTATACAAGTCGAACCGTAACGGAGACTTTTACAACAGACAACATAAACTGAAACACGCCAACTACGTAGGAAAAATAGCGCCACATTTCGCTAACTAGATAAGACACTTTTGGGTTGTTTTTTTTTTTTTTTTTTTTGTTGTTTCCATTCATACCTTAATTCTCCATATATAATACATACCCCTAAATTTGCATTATGAAAAAAAAACATCACTAGTGTATAATACGCACTCGTATTTTTTAGAATTTATAGCAGCTAGATTTAATATAAATGTTATCTTTGTTTTTTTTCCCATTCGTAGCGATTCAAAACACATACGCACAACACGCAGACGGACGCACGCACGCACGCACGCGAATACATACACACTATGAAAAAATAAAAGAAGAAAGAACTTACACTAATGGAAAGAGCATATAAAAAAGAAAAATCGAGACGTATAAGCAGTCAATTGCCGATAATCCCTGAGGAGTAGACGGTGCAATCCCCCGATGATCCGTCTACGAAACGCTGAGTCGGGATGTTGAAGATAACATCAGTCAGTAACAAACCTGTTATATTAATTCTCTCTCTCTCTCTCTCTCTCTCTCTCTATATATATATATATATATATATATATATATATATATAAAAGTGAACAGGCTGTTTCATGCTGAGACGCAATCGTAAGGCTACTTCTAGCATGAAACAGCCTGTTGCTTCTGGAGTGTTGACTTCAATGTTCACTTTTATATTTACATACGCTCTATCTCTTATATTGAGCACTTTATCCAATAAATATAGCACACCTTAAAACTATATTTCTTCATATATATATATATATATATATATATATATATATATATATATATATATATATATATATAGTCTACTTAGCTGATTGGCGTTAGCTTCAGCATCCGAACTCTAGAGTTTAGTAGACGGACACTCCATTGATCACTTCGTCCACTTGTTGGGGATATCAGCAATTATATATATATATATATATATATATATATATATATATATATATATATATATATATATAACAACGAAACAAGCCAATATTATTAATAAATGAAATTAATGGTCCACTTTCTTGTTCCTTTAATCTATTTTATCGTAATTATTTGCTAGTTCTTTTTCTTCTTGTTTTCTTATTATTATAATTAATAATAGCAGTAGTAGTAGTAGTAGTAGCATTATTATTATCAGTAGGATAAGTAGCAGCATTTTTTTACTAGTATTAGTAGCATTGTTGTTACTTGTCGTTAATGCTCTGTCTCTTCATAGCACTGAACATTCCAATTACAAAGTTTGTTTGTCTTAAACGTGTTATCTTCCGCAAATACCCTGGTCAGTTGTTTTTAATTATTTGAAAACGAATCTTAGATAGATAGAACCAGGATAGATAGATAGATAGAAAGAAAGAAAGAATCAGGATAGATAGATAGATAATGTTGGGTGATACTAGTATGTTTGGATAGAAATTTGTCACTATTATTTTGTGGAAATCGACACTTTGGATATGGATGTATGTACATTTTATTGTAAATACTAATGGACTCCTGGAACATTTAACCCGCAAACAATATTGGCGGACTCATTGTGAGTCCGGGTAAAAACATTTAGCTAGTTCAACAGTAAAACTATATCTAGTTGCCAATCTAGTGCAGTCGAGGCCCTAAGGAGAACAGCTCACCAGAAAAATTACCAGATGCCAGGTTAAGATCGATGACATTGGAAACCCTTCTTTAAATGTTTTCAAGTATCTTGAGATATGTAGTAAGCCTCTCGCTGCTCTACCGCTAAGTGCTCGGGCGAACTAGATTCTATGGTCCCGCCAAGTGAAGCCTTCACGGCAAGAACACCCTATGTTACTTACATAATAGCAAGCCGCCAACATTCCCTCCGTATTTAATCGGCGAAAAGTAAGTTCCACTCGAATAACTTCTACCCGCGAACCAGTATCCTGTGGAACCGACTCCAAACAGAATGTTTCCATGATCTTAACCTCTTCAAGGTTAGGGTTAACTGTTATCTTCCACTCCTATACACACAAATTGCCTCCTGACAAATTTCTACCTAGAACTGTTTACCCCAGTGAGATGTTGGGTGTTTCCGCGTGCGTGTATTGAAATAAAAACAAACACATACGTAGGGAAAAATACTGGTATATCTGAAGAGGTATTTACAACAGAGAGATTAGTAGTCAAACGAACGCAGGTTAGTCAGTAACAATCAGAAAGAGTATAAAGTCCAACTGTATCTTCCGGTAGAGAGACGGAAGTGTGATGGTCACCTGATCTCTTTCAGAACTCTATAGAACTGTCCTATTTGTAGTAGAGAGATCAGTCCATTCTGATGAGAAGGTGGGTGGCGCCCCAACACCCAATGAGCGAAATAAAGGGTTCAGTTTCACATTCCAACCACCTGAAGAAGGCCGGAGTATACAACAGCCGAAACATTGTGATAAATATGGCGACAAAGATGAGGACAATAGTCCGAATAATGTAAATAGTGTACATGTAAAAAGTTGTCCGAAAATTACAGGAATACACTTTTCATATGAAAGATAGACTCAACATAATCTTCTTACTTTACCCAATTCCTTCTGTTCCGCATCATTTGGCATTGGGTTGTATTTAGCTAACCTAAACTCCTGCTAGGTATTAACAAAGATATATTATCTAAACTCTATACAAACGCTTTCTAAGATCAAAAGTTCCACTTGAGCAGCTTCTTCCCGCGAACCACTATCCTGTGAAACCGACTCCAAACAGGATGCTTCCACGATCATTACAATCTTAACCTGTTCAAGGTTATCTTCCAATTCCATACACACAAATTGCCTCCTAACGTAAAGCTCTACCTAGATTGACCCCTGGGCCTTGTGAAGGGTGAACTTTACTACAAAAAGTACTAGACAAGATATAACAGCAATATTCAATGCACGGTATAATGATAGATTTATAAATATGTAAGATGGATTGTGACGAGTAGAAGTGTCTGGAAGAGTGAACCAATTTTTCTGTCAGTAGACCTAGCAAGTGATTCAATATAATTATCCATTCCATGACAGTGGAGAGCGTCAGCCCAAAAAGGAGCAAAGAATTGCTCACATGGAATTCTGATGGCATGCAGAAAAGGTTCTCTGTGGTTACCAAATGAAAGATTCAGATTGGAGGTCCTTTTCGGGGTAGTTGCAAAATATCAAACATATATATCTATTATGAAATGGACAAAGTCTGACAATTATTCATTGAAGATTGAAGCTTAAAGGCAGTAAATTCGACCATGCTAACCGAACGCTCCTCTGTGGCCAAATCGGTTAAAGGCATGTCAGGCTATATGACGGTTCCGTATAGGATACAGGTTCGATTCCTGTCGGAGGACGAATATTTTCTATGAAAATTTCTCAGACATTCAGGCCGGTAAATGTTGTTTAATACTGTTTATTATAAAAAGAGCACTTACTTAAATATTTGTCTCTATTGAAAGAATGTATAAACATAAAAATGTCTTAAAATACATATATATAAAGTTGTAGCCTCTGTTTGTCGGTTTGTTTGTTATCGAACTCGTCGTAGGGTTTTGGAGATAGACCATATATATTCTGAAACTACATTACCCAGGGTACTTGGATAAGTATATTTTATTTTGATCAAAGGGGTCCGCGGGGGTTGGGAACAAACCCCCTCCATAAATTCTTCCCCTTTGATTTAAATTATATTTAAATTTGAACAAGGGGATGACACCTAGGGTACTTGGATACGTATATTTTATTTTGCTTAAAGGGGTATCCGAGGAGAGGGGGAAAACTCCCCACTGATTTTTTTCCCTTTGATTTAAATTAAATTTAAATTTGAACAAAGAAATTGCTCCCGTCCAAAATATAGAAGGAGAAAGATAGAAAATGGAGGTCACATCAGCAAGATCAAAATGAGACAATATGGACGTCAAGTTGAGCAAGAAATCACCAATCAATGGGTACTACCTTACAATACATATCAATGTTAAAATCTGCTCACCAATTCATCCAATCATGTATTGCTTCAAATATATATTAAAGATCAATCTGTTTTTGCCCAAACCACCCACTAAAAATGTTCCCTTTGATTTAAGTTAAATTTAAATTTGAACAAGAGAATGACTCCTATTCAAAATACAGAAGGAGAATACCAGAAGATGGCGTTCACATTGGCAAGATCTTTGAGTAATACTGAAAAGCATCATTTTTCTCCACAAATTATAACAATGATTTAAAATCCCCCACAATTAGCTTGGGTTGAACTTTGCGGAAGAGCGAGAAAAAAAATGGAAAAGAACTCTTAGAGTCATTAAGAAGAGAATTGAAGCAATTATCAAACTTATACTTTAAGAAAACCTTTGCAACGAATTTGTTTGTGCTGCAGTAATCCAGGCTGAAGGAGGATATTTTGACGAGAGCAAAATTTAATCATAAAATGCTTTTTCTTCTTTTTCTCATAATAAAATTTCTAATAAATAAAAGTCAAATCTCAGGTTTATTTTTCACCATATATAATGATTTTCTCTTATTTAAAGTACAAAACAACTACTTTTGGGACCAATTTAAAAATTACCAGAGGTGGACTCAAACTCTTGAACTGTAGTGTACACACACATATATATATATATATATATATATATATATATTTCAAGAAACAGATCCAAGAATTTCACTAAAAAACTCGCTGGACAAACCTTAATTGTTTTATGACTCTTCGCAGAACTCTTCATTGACAATTCTAGAAAGAAAAAAGATTGCCAACACAAAACAGAATGTCTCATATCGAGAATATTTTGAACATGGAATAATATTAAAAAACTTTCACCTGAAGACGGTTGAGACAGACCAGAAACACGTGTCTTGAAATTATGTAAAAACAAACACACACACACACACAACAAAACACACATATTTATATATATATATATATATATATATATATATATATATATATATATATATATATACTTATTAATAAGAAAGAAATGCTAAGTTCTTTGTGAAATCTGGTGTAAGAATGGAATAGGCAAAGTTGCATTTACTTACATGAACGATCACGTGTCAGTATTTTTTTCTTTCGTTATGCATCCTCCTTTTCCGCCTGTAAATCATTTTCGTCGTGTTTGGCATCGGCTAGTGTTCCCTTTTTTAATGGGCTTCTTTTAATGAGTAAATTGGCAATAGTCTTTTATTTTCTTGTTTTTCAAACTTCCGAAATCTTTTACCCACCTCGACTTGCAAGCCTCATTGGGGGCATCGGACATTGCTTTGTGAACCCCGCTATCTTATCAACATTTGCTTTGTTCTACCTACATTTACTTACATTAAAAATTAAACTAAGCATAACTATTAAAGGATGAAACATTTTCGCGGATTTTGACGTCGTTCTGGGGTCATTTTTTTTCCTTCATCCAAATCCGTGGATTTGTTTTGCTTATGCTAAATATAAAAAAGAAAAAACCACTATATAAAATTTTCTATTTTTTATACAAAATGTTGAATGTATTAAATTCTTCAATTTTTTAAACAAGAAAAATTTCAAGCTGATATTAAAAATTGCGGCAGAACATAACTGATTTATTTAAGATGGAATGATCTATTATGACATGTCTCTAATTTTTATTTAGAAACATTGTATTTATTTCCATTTTTTCTAGTTGAATTGTTCCCTATATTGCATATTATCAATTATTGTACATAATTAGGTTACAATAAGATATATGTTTTATGGGAATAGTACCTTAATAGTGCCGAGTGGTTAGAACTTTCGCTTTCTGACAATGAGACCCGAGTTCGAATCTCATCATGGTCAATTTATCAAGAATGAGACTTGAGGAGGGCGATTCCAGCGTACGGCACCTTTGGAATGTGCCTGAAAACTATACCACGGGTTGAGCCAAGTCTTGTGAGTGAAATTGGGTAGACGGAACACGTAAGATAGCTGTATTAAATTATTCAGCGTTCTAACAAGTTGATGTTAAAAATTGCTGCAAAATATTGTTGATTTATTTAGGATGGAATGATCTATTAGGACATGTCTTTAATTTTTATTTCGATACTAGCAGCATGGTTGCCCGTGCTTGATTCAAAAATCGTACGACTCATACAGCAATTGCTATCACTTGATTTAAATATTTTTGCCCTTCCTTGCCTTTAAAAGAGTGCCCTTTGCCGTGCTGATGTTGCTACATGCCTTACTTCTTGCCTATCTCACACTGCGAATTTTTTCTAAGCTCTATACTAAACATTAAATCTGTTACAAAAAAAGAACAAAATGAACACAAAACGATGTATACCGATGTATATGTTTAGTATAGAGCTTAGAAAAAATTCGCAGTGTGAGATAGGCAAGAAGCAACATCAGCACGGAAAAGGGCACTCCTTTAAAGGCAAGGAAGTGCAAAAATATTTTAAGTCAAGTGATAGCGATTGCTGTATG